TGATAATACCAATAATGTAGCCAAGCGTCAGCTAATAAATGCAATAACTTATTGTCCAAAACTTCGGAATTTTCAAAATCAGTAAGTTCTAGATTTAAAAAGGTCCCAAGTTAATCGTTAACCGTAAAACGACAGAAAAAAATCAAAGGAATAAAGAAACCCAAATTAAAATTTTAACCGTGGGTTAGCGCTAATAAACCTTCGAACAACTGGGCCCTGAAAGTTAACAGGCTAGTTAAAATGTTTTTACAGGGTATGTTTAGTTTATATTAGACTAGAATAGAGCTTAAGAGGCAATACCACGTATTTCATGTACATCATATGTGGGGACAACGCTGAGTTGAAAGCCTTAGAACAAATGAACGTGAACTGCAAATTCTCTCAAGCGAAAGTGACGAAATAATGAAGAGTTAATTCATTGTCAGACTTAAGGTAAAGTGCTTTCCCGAAATCGATTGATTTTTATTGCTATTTAGAAAGAATGATGAAAAATTAAATTGATATTAAAGTTAAGTAGCAACAGCATCTTGAGCGGTCGGACTCCAAACAACAACCTCATAGTTGACTATGGACTCCGCTGCTCGAGGTTTAAAGCGATGTGTCGGTATGTCTTAGGTCGCTTTGAACGGTAAATTTGGTTGTACACAGTTTAAAGGGAAGCATGCGTGTGTTTCAATATGTTTGCTTTTAGATTAAAAATAAATAATAAATGCAGAGAAGGAAATAAAACTACAGTTATCCAAGCTGCAATTTCAAGTGAATATGACTTGCAAATCAGGTTCGACATGTATGTGAAAGAGGGTGGAGAATTTACAGATAATGACTGAAATAGACGTGGAAAATGTTTTTGTTTCGGTCTGAAATGAGACTGGGATCTGTGGAACTGAACAAGTATTACGAGCTGTGCTCCACGTCTTCTTAGCTCGGCAAAGAGAGGCCGATTGAAAAAAACTCTGAAAAAACACACCCGTATGGGCAGCGAATGCAGTCACAAAACTGGCGCCATTCCAGCTCTGTCCTCTTGTCGTTTTCTCAATAGACCTCCATAAAACGAGTGGTGGGTGGAAAATTTTTTTGTCGCAAGTGGTGTTTTGCAATTGATATCGAATCTTCATTTCAGTAGGATTTAAGCCAGCAAGTGTATTTGTCTGTTTTTTATTTGATTTCGTTTTAAATTATCATTCATCTGTTGTTTTGTTTTCATTAGGGTTAAACTGTCTACAGTTGTTTTCATATCCTTGCTCTGACTGGCTAGACACGTCTACAGACATTGCAGTAGTCTGGGCAGTGTCCATGTGCATAAGAGAATTTTCTCGATTTTCAAAAGTACGACAGCCAAGAAATAAATTGGATTTAAGTCTTCGTATCACCGTTTGTGAAGTACACTTCTGCGCGACATTATCTTATTAGCATTTCATATTCAGTTGACCGTCCAAGGTGTGCTAACCGGCTTCACTGGCACTGGTGATAAATTGTGTGTGACCGAATAGTTGCAGATACTCTCATGATAAGAATAGCAATGTCAGATCGTGGTATTTGCCTCAAATTCAATGGGTAGAAAGTTCAGGTGAAGTGATAAAAAATTTTTTTGAGGTTATCAGAAGAAAACAAAGCAAACTTGTTTTCCATCCCGATGAGATATTTGTCGAGTTCCCGCTGTTAAGTGAGGTTTTCAGTCTGTTAAACACCTCTGCATCTGTTTTGAAGCTTTTTATGCCATCTCTTCGAATGGATTTCTTTGTGTCTGTGTTCGAAAAAATATTCTTGACTCGATTCTTCCTTTAAAGCCTATTTCTGCATAAAATAATTTTTGTCAATCAGTGAAACGTTAAGACATCTGACGAGCATTTATCACAATATCGCCAAAGACGCAGACGGAACAAAGACCTCGTTCGTAAAGTGCTGACCTTCGAAGCTATCAGATTTCGACCTGGAGAGGTCGATTTATCACACATCGCCAGCTAAACTTTTAGCACACAGCTGAGGGCAAACTTTTATTTCGTTTAAACGTTTTTTCTCGAAACTTCTCTTGGCCAGTTCTAGTCAACCTGCTCTATGAAGACTCTTGTCTTCGTTACCCTGGTGCTGTGGCAAATCAGCAGAGTTGCCGGCCGTAAGTACTATCATTTGTAAGTAGGCGTTACCTTGCCTTGAAGCAAGAAGGTTGAGAAAACTGTTACTCAAACCTTCGAAATGTTGGCGAGGGTTTTATAGTTACACGGTTTAGAGGGTTGTCATACACTTTCTTTATACAAGCAATATCTACTTTCAAGTCATGCCTACTGAAGGCGATCCATTTGGTCTTTAAATTGAAGATTTAACATTAATCCGGCGGCCTTTATCAGATGATCTCTCATGGCGGATTTTATATTTCTTTATTTTTTTCTTCGACAAAACTTCACCCTCATTTAAAGTGTTGTCCGGACAATCGCATGCTGTAGATCTCTCCCTCGAAAAAAAGAAAGAAACTCAAGATTTGTTTTATCTCCGTTAAATATAATCCAACGTAGGAGACATTTTGCCTAAGTGACGAAGAAATCTGGTAGGTGTAGGAATTTACCCACAAGTGGAGTAACGGAAACTCTAAAGCTCAAGGTCGCCTCGTAGTATCTGACATATATTCCCTTGATGACACTATTTGTTAATTAGGAAAATACTAAGGAGTCAAAATCTTGTGTTTTTAAAGCAAAGCGACAAGGACCGTTGAAATATTTAGTAACAGATTTTATGTCTTCATCCCATCCGAATATTTTATTATGGCGAAACCTACTAAGTTTAGATGAAATTATAATTTTTTTTCCTGGCAATGCTCTCGGTTTTGCTTTCTTATTTGCCTCTGACGAAAAATTAGTATACATTACTTGATGATAGTCGAATCTCGGGTTCAGAAATTTAAGAGTTCGCTTAGTAAGCTGTCTCGTCAGTCTGCGGTGAAAGATCCGCGTACCACGCGACCGAAAACCAAAGTAAACAAAAGATGTTTTTAACCTTTATCACAGGCTTTTACTATTTTGCGAAACAAAACGAAGCGAAACAAAACCAGACGAGATACAGCAAATATATTTTGTCTTAAGGTAAAGGTAACCTTCACAAGGATTTTGGAGTAATCGTTAATTGACAAGAAGGATTTTTATTCATTTCGCAAAGAATTAATTTAAGAAGAGTCACTGTCTTGCGAAATCGACTAATGATCCATTTCACAAAATAGTATCTCTTTAAAATCAATATTTTGCGAAATATATTTTAAAACGTTTAAGAAATGAGAGGAGGTCGAAATCTTTGGTGATATTCCAATTTGTAATGTTTAAATGTATTTTTGTGACATGAAAGAGGTCACGTTGTCGCCGCGGGGTGAAAATAGTCGATTTCTTGAAATAGTAACTCTTTTGCGAAATGAATGAAAGTCCTTCCTATTAATTTACACCAAAAGTCCTTGTGAAAGTTATCTTAACCTTGTTAGAAAATATGTCTGCACTATCCTTTTAGTTTTGTCATATTTCGCCTGGTTTCGTTTCGTTTCGTTTGGTTTCGCAAAATAGAATAGGCCTTTTTCAAACGAAACGCAACTTTTGAGCACGAACACATAGTGCGGTCTGCCTGTGCTTTAACCGTCTTCATTTCGCCGATTGAGTATTTAATATCTCTCCAGGAAATTGCTAGCAACTACGTTATGCGGCAACGGAACTGCAAATTATGTGATTTGGTTGATCAAGTCTTCATCAAAATATAAGTGATACGATGACGCACTTATCAGCTAATTACAAGATCAGTAACCTTCTGGTTAAAATCGCTATAATTGCCCTGAGAGAGCCCTTGCGCTGAGGTCATAAATTTAAGAATAGCAAGCACGTATTGCGAAGATCTATAGTTAGGTAATCAATCTGAGCGAGTCTGGTTTGCAGGGAATTCATTGCTCCCTGCCATATGACGGCTTTGATCTTTTCAACAAGTATCGATCCCTGGAGACTTGTCGTACAGTCAACAAAGGTGAGAAATTGTTTTAATGAACGCTTGGCTTGTCCATTGTGTTAAGAATTCTGTCAATGAAAAACGTGAGAAATACGCCGTTGAATTTTGCTTTGTTTCTTTTCTTTCTTTCCATTTTATTCGTATTTTCCTTTTTTTTGTTTGTTTAGTGGCACTTTGTTTCTTTCATTCTTTGCCAAATTCGCCCATCATTAAGATTTAAGTTCGCTCGAACATTGTTGCGCTCTGTGATCTTTCAAAGTATTTCGGAACCTTTGTTGAAGCACCGACATACATTCTAGAACGTTCTCCGTGTTGCGGTACCCTCTTTCATGTGTTTTTGGTCGTTTGTTTTTGTTTTTTGTTTGTTTGTTTTTTTAAAAGAACCATTTTTCACAAGAACGTTGAAGCTGAGATTGACCAACATTTTAAAAACATACTAAGAACAGACCCAGGCTGATAGTGAGTTGAGATCGTCTTTATTTTGCTCACTTTCTCTTGCGAGAAGTATAAAGACAGAAGAAATGTAAGACTCTGGTCTAACGGGACAATTAACTCAAATACGTGTGGACATTTTTTACCTCAACAATGCGGTTTTCTTAATGCGGGATGCACTGACCACAGGCGTTCGCATTGATTTATTGGAATCATATACCACACAACTTTAAAAACGTGTTAAGAACCTTTCCAGGCTCATTGCAAAAAAAAAAAGGAAAAAAAAGAAGGCTCAGCCCAAAGAAGGAGTGTAGTTCATTTCAAGAAATATGTCTTAGATGATAGAGAACTAAAATAAAAAAGATCAAAGGGAAATCATAGATCTCCATATGTATAGGAAATCGTATGAACGCGAGTGCATTTCGTGATTTATGGGCACGAGTGATGTTTTGAAAGTTCTCAAAATTGCACGAGCCGTAGGCGAGTGCAATTTGAGAACTTTCAAAACATCACGAGTGACCATAAATCACGAAATGCACGAACAGCTTCATACGATTTTTTATTTATTATATTCTCGACAAAGAAAACCGGCTGTCAGCCATTTTTTTATAATTTGGTGTTCAAATTTGGCGCTTCCTCGGTGTTTCCATGGCAACTTCTCCGTATTGCACTCTATAACCTATTTATGCATTCATCATTGACCAATCAGAAACGCGATATTTTGTTGAGTATATAATAAATCTGTTTATTAAGACTGCAATAAATGAAAACAATTGGAATAATATCAATTATTCAAATAACATATTCTATTCGATTTCTAACTACTTTCTACAGTTGGGTTTTTATTTTGTTTACCTCTAATTTTTTTTTTTGATTTCGTGGGCCACAAGGCATTTTCATTTTACAGCCAACAACGTCACTTTAACGGCTGTCACAAAAAATGATACCAAAAACAGCAGAAAAGAACCTTAACAGTGACTTGCATCTTAATTTTCCTCACAATGTTACCCCAGAATCAAACATTAAGGTAAAGACAATAAAGGAAGAGATATTGATTTTTAGACAAATTCGCTTCACCAGCACCTTAGGAAATATATAGAGAACAATATAGCAATTATGTGTACTGATGTAGGGGTGTTAATGGTTAAAGAAGAAAAAAAAATTGTACCGTTCCTACGTTCATCTGTAGTTTTTTTCTTAATTATTTTCTTGTAGAGGGCTTGCGTTGTCCCATAGTGACCACATACAATCCAGTTTGCTCAGAAAGGACTGAACACTTTTGTGAATCAGATAAAGAATGCTTGGTGGAGGGGCAAAGGTGTTGTCCATCACGGCAGGGGGCCTGCCAACTTGCGTGTACAAAGGCTGAGATTCTTAGTAAGTACTAAAGGTTCTTTTTCTTTTTCCGATTTTCAATTTTTCATTTTTATTTAGCACGACATGGCGGAAAATCGGCTCGGAATGTGGCATATGGTATCACAAGGGGTTAGGCTAAGTGACTTCACACCCTGTCTCGTCCACGTCTCGTCCCATTCCACTTTCGCTTTTTACGAGAGGAAAACAAGCCTGTGCCAGGCACTCAGTCGGTGAACAGCCTGGTCGATGAAAAAGTGTGAAAAACGCAAACCCGACACAGGGGTCACGTTGCTGGTGCCTAAGTTTCGCGACTCACCTCGAAATGAAAGCCTGTGCGACTGCTGCATGTCTTACAAAGGGTTTTATAGATTTATTTTGACTTGTAAGCCTGTTGAGGAACAGTAGAAAGACTCGTGAATCATTGCTCACAACAGATCAGCAAATTATAGATCGTGTGAGATGGCATTAATTTCTTCTTAAATGTTTTCAGAGGGTTGCCCCAAGCCTGTGGATCTTGCCTTACTCGTTGATGCATCAGGTAAGTGCATTCTTTTTGTTCGTTTTTTTAACTTTTTTTCTGTACGCTAAGTAATTTTCAGTGTAGAGCTGGCACATTTCCAGAAAATGGTATTCTCCAATGGGACGGGAAGGAGGGTGGGGAGAGAGGAAAGATACTGCCTTAGATAGCCTCACGAAGGAGGGTGGGGAGAGAGGAAAGATACTGCCTTAGATAGCCTCACGAATTTATGTCGCCGAATGGAGTGGTGATTATCTGATTTTCGGACTCTTGGTCTTAAATTTTTCCTCATTCGTCGCCTCCCGGTTCCCCCACCCACCCGTGGCTGCGAAATATACCATTATTTGTGCGTTAACCGGAGTTCACTTAAAGTTTCCCGTTTCTCCATATAGGTAGTATAAGCAGAAGAAACTTTGCCCGATTTAAAATTTTTCTCAAGCGGCTAGTGGACGAGTTCGACATATCTGAGAGTGGTACTCACGTGGCTCTAGTCGAGTACAGTACAGAAGCGTCAGTCCAGCTAAAGTTTAACGATTTCAGTGGCGCGTTCCTAAACGCAGCCAACGTGAAGCGGCGTATTGATCAAATTCCTCATAATCGAGGACTTACATATATCGACAAGGCTTTGAGTTTGACCAACAGTGAAGTCTTTACTGCCGAAGGGGGAATGAGGCAGAACGTGACTAAGGTAAACATCTTTTGTCTGTGTTATTTTTTTTTATAAAATTTCGATTCTTAGAGACAAGTGCGCTTTTAAATCTCATTCCCAGTCACATAAATCGAATTCTACTCTTCAAGAAGAATACAATTATCATAGTAGTGTTATAACATCAACTGTGTAGCTGACAAAACATTGAAATAAGCCAATTGACCGATTACTCATTTAACCTCCGATCTTCGAATCCTGTTATCAACAAAGTTGAATAAAGAATGAAGAACAATTAGCCTATTAGAAGAAAAAGAGACCATTTCTGTCTCTGCAGTTGAAAGGATTATTCACGAAATCATGATGCTGGCTGACTAGGTGTTGAGATTCCAGAGAATAACTAATGATTCAACGTCCTGATAAAATTATGATAACAAATCATTGCCATTTTTAAGGTTTAGTTATTATAATTAATCTATCGCTGTTCTATCACAAATGTTGCAATCTGATTGGCTGTGCTACAGAGTGCGGTTTACACTTTTAAATAAGATGTGTTACTGCATCACCCCTCTTTTGGTCCTCAAAATAACACACATAGAGATGTGTATAAACACACACCTTTTCATGTGTTACCCGAGCACACCTTGATAGGCTTTCACACACACCTTTATGTGTTCCCACAACACTCCTCAACTTGTGTTTCATGCGTGTCCTAAATTTGACACACCTTAAGGAGTGTTCTGCAGAAAGACGCGTTTTGTCACACTTCTAGTTGTGTAACAAAGCACACCTTCGGTTGCGTTTTCAGAACACACCTTTCCAGACACGCAAACTTACAACATTTACATACATTCACATAATTATTTGTACAAAACACCAGGAGTGGTCCACAAATGGTTTATTGATCTTTCGAAAACAATTTATATACAACAGTTTTTAAATAACTATTCTGGATAACTTCACAAAATTTTGGTTTGTACTTGTGTTGCAGTAACTTCTTTGAGAAAGCAAAGAAAAATTATTTGATCATTCTATAGATGTAGACACAATAAAATATAAGCATGCACAGGTCTTGTTGCGTGAAGTTTTGAATGACGGTTTTATTTATTTTCGGTAATCATATCATTCGCTCTCGATTTCTATGTATGATATTTTGTTTTAGCATCGTCGTCATTAGCAATCGTACCATAGAAATCGACAGTTCATAATCTAATTGTAAATTGTTTTTCGAGAAACGTGGCTTACAAGGTGATCTTGGCTTTGTGTATTTCCAGGTAGCTATCGTCATGACTGACGGTGTGCAAACAGTTCCAGACAGCAGTTCAGAATCAAGCACAGAGATATTAGACTCTGCAGTTCAGCCAGTGAAGGACAAAGGCGTAGAGGTCATGTCAATTGGAATCGGAAAAGGCATCGTACTAGTGGATTTGGTTACTCTGGCTTCGGACGATACCGGTGTCTTTTTGGCAGAGAGCTTTGCAGCCCTAGATGAGATTGCAACAGATATAATAGAGGGGAAATGTCCAGGTATTAGAGTGACAGATGATGTTACTTAATGAATGACGCAGGCATATACCGAGAGAAAGAACCCCGAGTGGTGCCCGAGTGGTGCTCGAGTGGTGCCCGAGTGGTGCCAAGAAGAGTCGAACCTACGACCTTCCGATTAGTACTTGAAAGCTCCACCTCTGAGCTACAGGAGACTCGAGGCAGGCTGGGCCGTTTAACTAGGTTCATGATGATGGTGACGAACTTCTCGCATACTGCTTGGATAGCAATGTTGATATATGATGCCTTTGCGCAATGATTATGTAAAAAAATGGAAAATTCTACGACTAATGTCACCACGGGAATAACATTGTCTAATTTCCTGTCATTTCTGGGCTTGTTTCATTCTATCGAACAGCTTAATTCAGGATATGATAGTACATTTTCTATTTATCAATTTATTTATCATTTCTTATCAGTTTATTTTAATTTTGATTCATTTATTTTTCCTTTTTAATGAAAACTTGAAGTATTTCAACAAAAATAATTACGGATGAAAACTTGAAGTATTTCAACAAAAATAATTACGGAGGCCGAGCAGAGAGTTGTTGTCGCTTAGGACCGCTGCTAAGTCTGTCAAGTTGGCGCCACCACACCTAACTCGTCCCTACCCTTTGACTCCCAAGATCTGATTGTTAATTCTCCCCTCTACCTGACATACATTTCGTTGTAAATTAATTACGAGAATTTGGTGTCCGGTCAAGGCAACAACTTCTACCTGATAACTTTGAGTATTCTCCTTACCTGCTTTGTGTGTAATGCATGGATGATAATTGATTTTTGGGAATTAAAAGGTTAACTAAATTCACAGCCTCTAACACATCCTTGCATTCGTTTTTCAGTCGACGGTCAGTGGTCGAACTGGGAGAAATGGACCGAGTGCACTGAGACTTGCGGTGGTGGCACAAGAAAGCGGATCCGAAAGTGCAACAACCCGGCTCCAGCAAACGGAGGGGTTAAATGCCCAGGGCCAGCTGAACAAGAAGAGGCTTGCAATGAAGATCCTTGCCCAAGTTAGTGAAAACATACTAAAGAGAATGCAATTTTTAATTCATTAACGAAAGTAATTCAGGATTACTTTGGTTTTAACTTTGCGTTGTGATTAGTCTAGAAAAGTTTACCATCCTCTCGACCAATCAGATGCAAAGTTGAGATTGGCTGGGGGGATTAATTTGGTTTTGTCTTTTCGACACTCAGTGGAAAGCTATCCATCTGTAACCACTGAATTTTTCGGAACCACAGCGAAACCTCAAGAGCACTAGGAAGTAGGATTTTAATACTTTCAAATATCTCTCTTCACCACGCGTTGAAAAAGTTTCCACAAATTACGAGAGTATGTTCAGTTAAGTTGCAGTCCTGAGGTCAATAGACACAGCTGCTTATCAGCCTTTTTCTGAGTACCTGGGGTAATTGAACATCTTTTAAAAAACTGTATACTCGCAAACACGTTTACTCACGCGCAGTTATGTATATCAAAATATATGTACTTTCTGAACAGCAAACACACAGTTGATAAAAAAGTCTCGATGGAAAAGGTCACTAGAAGTGAAAAGGAATTTGTTGCCCCAAATCATATAGCCGACTAAATCTACTGCACGATCGAATAACTTTTCTGCCTATTTTTGATGGATAATGAAATTTATTTATTCTGCTCTTTCACACGCAGTTTCCAAACGTATTGAATAAATCCTTGCTATCTCGCCAACTATATCGATGTAGTAACAGTTTTTACTGTTCCTCGTGATCCAAACTCTGCTATAAAAATATTTGCATTTGTTGCGTGTAGTCGAACATGTACATTGAAAAGTACAATCCCAATAACATAGAATTATGAAACTAAGATTACCACCAAAACATGTTATACGTCATATGTACCAACCTTATACCACACACGGACAACCTTTCAATTAACTCTCTTTTTATTTCCTATCGTGGTCTTCACTGTTTCTCTTTTGCGCCTGGGGTTCCGTCCCATTAAATTTTCTCCGATCTCTTAATCGGTTATGGTTTAGTTTGTCGAGAGTCCTTAAACTGAAGACTGTGTGGAGGATGTAATCACACTACAACAAAAGTCGTTTGATTATTAAACATAGTTGACGGCAACTGGTCCGACTGGGGAAACTGGTCTGGTTGTCCTGTAACCTGTGGAGGTGGAGAGCAGATAAGAACGCGAACTTGCACCAACCCCCCTGCTGCTTTTGGTGGGGCACCATGCCCTGGGGAGCCTGAAGAACGTCGACTGTGCAACAAGAATCCTTGCCCAGGTAATGGAGAAAGTGGCTACAATATTTTTTATTCTTCTGATTCATACGAAGCTTTCGATATTGCTGGTCCTAACATTATACAGGACGCTTATCACATATGAAGCTAATAAATGCTTAACTCACCATAGTGTCTCGGTGCTGGATCCTCGGAGAGCAGAATCCGAAGGTCTGAGACTCTGTGAGGTGGCGAGGAGTACATCTTATTTTCACCGTGTGAATAGCCATGCAAACAAGTAAATGATAAAGCAAACTATCGCCAACAAAAGTAGCTTTCTACAGTTAAACATAGTCTCCTTTTTTAGTGTATCCTTTTCAGAGAGTAGAACGGAGAAAAAGTATATGATGTTGGGGTGTATTGGGTTACGGGAAGGAGTCGTCTTTTTACTACTCTATCCACGAAACTAAGTGAGACTTTGAATTGTTAGTTGACGGCAATTGGTCTGACTGGAATGAGTGGAGCGATTGTCCTGTGACATGTGGAGGAGGCGTGCAGGAGAGAACGAGAACCTGCACCAATCCCCCTGCGCAGTTCGGGGGAAAGACATGCCCAGGAGAGAGTGAGGAAACAAGAGCGTGCAATGAAGACCCTTGTCCAAGTAATAATTTACTTTCATAATTTTTTATCTACAAGGTGTATTAGATATCACGCATTTTATTTATCCCTCGTTCTTGTGAGTGCCAGGGATGATTCCTGTTTTGCTTGGTTTGTTCACGTCTTGCGTTTTACTTCGCTGGTAGACAATGTGAAAATTATGTTAAACTAAGGGATCAAAATCAACTTGTTTTCTACGACAATACCCAATGGACGTGGACCAAAAATATTAAAAGAAGAATGTGGATAGCTTTTCGAATGATGCATTATGACGGAGAAACAACAACACTTTGTACTTGACTCTACGTAAGACACTTTGCCGATGTTACTGTGCGATAGAAGGCCAGGTTCTTAGGCAAAGATGGCGATCAAAACAAACTGGAGACAGACCCCATCACTTTTCGCTAGAATTCATGGGAAAAGAAGTACTTTTTACGTCGTTCTTGAGGCAAAATAGACACATTTTTCCTTTTTTCCAGTTGTTGTGGCAGACATTTTGTGAGCGGATCTGGGCTGATTTTCATTATGACTAAAAATTTGAACATTGTTCGACGGGATGACGGTTAACAATGGTAACCTCTTAGCATTCCTCGACGTTTTTCTTACCGTTTCCTGGTCACGTTTACAGCCAGGGTGGAGAGTGTCACTCGGGAAGTAACGCTCCTTGCATAAGGTCATATCACAATGACCTTGGCCTGAGCTCGAACATGGATCTAACGATCCACAGCCTTCAATAGCAGGTTAACCAATCTGTTACCCCCTTAATCTTTTGCCAGGCAAATTTCCATTTCATTTACAGCACCTTATGATCCATAAAGGTAGCTGGTTTGTGCTTCGTGAATTCCCATTTTGATTACGGCATCATGTAATCCATTTTCAACCTCTTTACCTTTTGATTACAGTTGGCAATAACTCTTGTTTAATCTATCAAATTTCCAACCTCATCCTTTTGCACGCATTTAATGGCAATTGGTCCTATGTCTTGTTAGTTACCGTTATTATTACGTCATCATATGGTCCACATTCTGCACACAGTTGATGGTAACTGGTCCGATTGGAATGATTGGAGGGACTGTCCAGTAACGTGTGGAGGTGGAGTCCAGGAAAGATCAAGAACTTGTACCAATCCTCCAGCGCAATTCGGAGGAAAGCCTTGCCCTGGGGAGAGCGAAGAAACCCGTGCTTGTAATGAAGATCCTTGTCCAGGTACTTTGTAGAGGCCATATCACCTAATATTATATTGATCGGTTTTTACCACGCTCAAGTTTGCGAATCTTTTCTTACAACCACATAATTTTTCAAAGCTTATTTCTGAGGCCAAATTCGAGCTCTTCTACTGTTCCCACAGCAATCAAGCTTTCCATGTTGGTACTGGTGCATGATTAAATAACGAAACGAAACGAGTGAGTTGATTGGATATTATTTTTTGGTTGGGCCTTCTCTTTGTGTTTCTCTTTTTGCTCCGTAATTGCTAACTCTAATTTAGCAAACAGGGAACATTTTCGGTTGGTGTAAATTAACCACCACGTCAAGAACAAAGGTAATAAGGATAGTGGAAGTTTGGATGAGTCCAGAGAAAGACTACGGTAAATTGGATTTTACTAAAACGTGTCTGATATGCACAGCACAAGTCTACTGGAAAACAACTGGTATCAATTGTTCAGAGTACCAACAACTGGAGGGCATTAACAATATGTTGAAATATCATTTGTTTTCTCAATCTGATGGAGGGGTCTGGACGGAACATGACAATCCTAACCCAATATCCATGGTTACTGAACGAGATAATCCTAGGCTGTGGCTGGTGCCTCTGGAGTAAATCTTTGAGAGTTATCATGTGTTCTTCGGTCAAGGCTGGAATTGTGTCTCATTGTCAAAGTCCTTGTTGCAGTTGACGGCAGTAGGTCCGACTGGAAAGACTGGAGTGATTGCCCAGTCTCGTGTGGTGGTGGAGTACAGAATCGATCTAAAACCTGTACCAATCCCCCGGCCCAATTTGGAGGGAAGTCATGTCCTGGGGAGGGTGACGAAACAAGAGTGTGCAATGAATACCCTTGTCCAAGTAAATTCCTACTGATTATGATGCACAACTGGTTATCATTGGTAGTTTAAACCGATTTATCGTTCTCTGGACTTTTCAATTGAATCCCTCATCTCCTTTGCTACTATATCTGCTCAAAGACCCCTTTTGAATCCTTGTTGCAGTTGACGGTAATTGGTCTGATTGGAAGGACTGGAGTGATTGTCCTGTGACGTGTGGTGGGGGAGTACAGAATCGATCGAGGACATGTACCAATCCCCCCGCTCAATTTGGAGGGAAACTATGCCCAGGGGAGAGTGATGAAACCAGAGTCTGCAATGAAGATTCTTGTCCAAGTAAATTTTTACTATGTTTTGATGCACTGATGCTGGGCATTGGTTACTTTAACCGTCCAGTAACTATCTGGTCTTTTCCAATATCTTTATCGGTCGTCCCTGTTGAAACTCTGTGTCTTGTAAGTCTTGTAATTGGTCTGACTGGAAGGACTGGAGTGATTGCCCAGTTACATGCGGTGGCGAGGTACAGAATCGAACCAGAAATTGCAATAATCCCCTTGCGCAGTTCGGAGGAAAGCCATGCCCTGGGGAAGGTGACGAAACAAGATCTTGTAACGAAGCCCCATACCCATGTAAACCGTTTCTGCTTAAAATAACAAATTCATCTCGAGGGCTGAGAGTTTGTTTTCATTTCAATTTATCTCTGTTAGGCTAAATCAATTTGAACTAGAATATTTTCCTGTTTTTATGACATGGCTTGATCTTTGCAAACCTTAACGCAATCTATCAATCTTGATGAGGATTTGTTAAAAATGGCAAGAAAGAAAAACCAAGACAATATCCAATGCTGGTTTTTCCCCGCATATGGTTGAAAGCTCAAATTTCTGCGATAAAGCGCCTTCGTCCTACTACATGTCTGACGAGTTTTGTCCAGTTCTATTTCCTCAACATATATAAAACATTTGTTAAATTAATACAAATCAAAGTTTAGTATCGAAGCTACTGCTCTTTTATATTCGTATACACCTTTTGAGAGGATTGATAATGTCTGAGGTTCAAAATAGGTTGATGGAAAGTGGTCAGATTACACAACAAACAGTGTAGTTTGTTTTACTTCCCTCTCATAAGCCAAAGTAAAGTTAAATGGTGAAAACCTATATTCCTTTCTAATTCAGTCGATGGTAACTGGTCTGACTGGAAGGAATGGAGCGATTGTCCTGTCACGTGTGGTGGTGGAGTCCAGGAAAGGTCAAGAACTTGCAGTAATCCACCGGCGCAATATGGAGGAAAGCCATGTCCTGGAGAGAGCGAAGAATCAAGGGCTTGCAATGAAGACCCTTGTCCAAGTAATTATCTACTTTCATCTTCATTTTACAACGGGCCTGCCCCAGTAATCGGCAGTTTTTGACTAATTTTGAGTTCCTTTTAGACTGATCTTTGGAGTTTACAAGCTATTTTCTTTTTTATTCTCTATCACAAGCCAAAGTAACGGTTATCGGTGTAAACCAACTTTTTCTTTAATTCAGTTGATGGTAACTGGTCTGATTGGAATGAATGGAGCGATTGTCCCGTCACATGTGGTGGTGGTGTCCAGGAAAGATCAAGAACTTGTAGCAATCCACCGGCGCAATTTGGAGGAGAGCCTTGTCCTGGAGAGAGTGAGGAATCGAGAGCTTGCAATGAAGACCCTTGTCCAAGTAATAATTTACTTCCATTTCAATTAACAACACACTCATCCAACCATCTTCCCTTAATCTACACTTTCTCTTATAACTGCTAGTTATTTTCTATATACTCCCCATTCGTAAGACAAAGTAACGTTTAGCGATTAAAACAAATTTTTCACTGTGATTTAGTTGATGGTAACTGGTCTGATTGGAAAGAATGGAGTGATTGTCCTGTCACTTGTGGTGGTGGAATGCAGGAAAGATCAAGAACTTGTAGCAATCCACCAGCGCAATTTGGAGGAAAGCCTTGTCCTGGAGAGAGCGAAGAATCGAGAGCTTGCAATGAAGACCCTTGTCCAAGTAATTATGGGTCCATTTTTTTCCTTTTTTAAGCTAAATCAATGACAAATGATGCAAAAGATGCTTTTCTTTTCTATTCAGTTGATGGCAATTGGTCCGACTGGAAGGACTGGAGTGATTGCCCAGTCACATGCGGTGGCGGAGTACAGAATCGATCTAGAACCTGTACCAATCCCCCCGCTCAATTCGGAGGAAAGCCATGCCCTGGGGAGAGTGATGAAACAAGAGTGTGCAATGAAGACCCTTGTCCAAGTAAATTCTTACTCATCATGATACATTTTTCTCTTGATACTACTGCAATTGTACCAAAGACCACTTAAATCAGCTCAGTCATTGAAGGCGATGATATGATGCCGTTATTGACTTATGAAAAATATAACCGAAATGTCTTGTTCGTCCTTTGCAGTTGATGGAAACTGGTCCAATTGGGGTCCTTGGAGCGAGTGTACGGTCACGTGTGGTGGTGGTAAACAGATCCACACTCGTAGTTGTACTAATCCCCCGCCGGCAAATAAAGGACTACTTTGTATTGGTGAAAGCGAGGAGTCACGGGAATGTAACATTGACCCGTGTGGAAGTAAGAGACATCCAATTATATAATGAATGTGAGAGTGAACTTCGCAATAATGAACGCTACTTAAGCAGGTCCGAAAAAAATTCAGGCCTATATTTTCACTGTTGCTTAAGTAGTTTTCATTTCTGCGAAGATCGCCCTCATATTCATTTTGTAATCCAAAGCTCGCGTATATGTTTTTCGTATATTTACAGACATTATCTATATCATGTTTCCTCAATCATAAACACCATTATGTTTTGCAAAATTACAAATAAGACTGGGAGCTATTCAGATAAATGTCACCGGCGTTCCACCAAGTTTGCACAAGCAAAAAGTCTTAGACCAAATTCTGGGCGAGGAGCCCATTCACACATCTAAACCTGTTACTGGTAAATAATGATTCAATTCCACCCTAAACTGGGGAATGGCGGCTATAAAAGTTACTAGTTATAGTATTTAGATATTTGAACGATTTTTCATCAGCAGTTATGGTAACATTAGGTGATAGTGACCGAAAGACGATAGACGAGCTGGCGAAAATCGCCTACTACCGGCACTTACTGACGGCTCTGCTTTCTTGTTCGGTTGTTTCGTTTGCTTTTACGTCAAAAAGTTGTGGAGGACAAGGCACACATTATTTTCTCTTTTCCGCGGTCTTAGATGAAAAGGGACTCTAGTTAGTTTAACTTCAATCCAAGGTTAATATAACTCTTGGCTTTGTTGCTGGAGCCGACTGCCCTTCATGGTTTCATGTTGGGATGTCTTTAACGATGTTTGTTGCATTTCCATTTAAAGGACCCGCAGAGATAACACACATAAATACGTCAATTGCCTCGACCGTGGTTGGGGGTAAAGTGGAGTTACAGTGTGTTTCCGACGGGGATCCCACACCCACAGTTACGTGGTACAGTCCTAACGGTACCGAACTGGTCACCATCACAGGAGACAGCACAATATTTATTGTGGTAGATGGTCCAAGCGACTTTGGTGACTACCGATGTAAGGCTTACAATGGATTCGGTCCACCAGTTGAGAGAGTAGTATCTGTGGATCCTATCGGTAAGTCATCTATTCCAGCTTCTGAATCAGAGATCCCTCTGCTGTTGATGAATAGTCTGTACTCGAACCAAGTGACCTATCCAGCCGGAGCCCATTTATACTCCTGAATGGAGAGAGGGACTGTGAAAGTAACGTGTTTTGCCCGAGAACACAACAATTAACCAGGCAAGGTCTTGAATCCGGACCTCCCTTAGCTGTTGATCAGCGAAATAATTCTAAGCAAGTTTGATGTCACATTACAACCCTTTGAAATGAAGTCGGTCAACCTTTATTTGAATGAAACACTGCGTGAAGAGGAGCGAAATCTACTAATTTGTCTTTTTCTTGTCTCTTCCGTATGACTTAATCGACGGCAGTACCACAGAAGGTAAGAAGGATATAATTTTTTAAAACTAGCTGCAAAGCGACAGCTTAGTTATCCTGAGCATCCAAATGTAATCCAAAAGTATTTGTGTCTTTGATGGGTACAACGATTAACTGTATCTCTAAATGTTCAGTGGGTAGCCGAAGCTATTGCATGCTGCAGTCGGCAACTTTATCCAGAAGCGTATTTTGCACGATCAGAAATGAGGACAAGGGCGCCACAGTATGACTCTTTAACGTTCGACTCGCAATAGACAATACTCAAAGGGGACGGACAATTTTCATTTGGCCATTCCAAGTGGCCTCCTTAAGCACTTTCACAAAGAGAACACAACGGTAGATATTTTATTGTCGTTTTGTTCCTTAGGTTGGACCTCCAGGCGATCCCGGACCTAAAGGCGACAAGGTATGATACTATATTTTACAACTGGTACTAGAGTTACTGATTTTTCGTTGGTAACCTATGGCCTACAACAAGCCTCAGAGACCACACTTGTTGAGAGCTTGGAAATGCATGGAAAAGCTGCAAAATAATTATGGAATTTTATTAAACGAAAATGAATAGATGAATCAAGTAATATTGAATTCAAAAGATTACTATTGATCATTAACGTAAATATTATACAAATCGGTTTCCCTTTAATAAATAACATTTTGAGCAAGGAGCAATGCTCTCTGCTAACTGATAACCAGGCGTAAAAGGAGGCCTTTAAATCCTTAACCCTTTAACTCCCATGAGTGACTAAGATAAAATTTCTCCTTATAATATCAATATAATATCAACCAGATAAATGATAAGAGTAAAGAAAAATATCAATTTGGGGATAAAAAAGTTGATCCAATACTAAATTCTCTGAACCAACATCATCAGAATTGTATGATTGACAGTAAGGAGAGTCAAAAATTTGATTTGGGAGTTAAAGGGTTAATTACCTCCCTGTTCCACTTTTTCCCTTATGTATTTACACCCTAATATCAGTATGCATATTCTCCATACATTTCCTATGGTTATCACGAATGATTTGATTAGCTGATGATCATTTCCTTTTTTTCTCGTGACCTTAATGTTTGATTCAGGGTGGATATTGTGAGAGGAGACTAGATGTTAGTCACTCTTAGGCGTCAAAAGGTTAATTGCTTAAGTTTTAGAGGTTCAACACTAGTCTTAAAGCCGAATGAATCCTGTACTTTAAGGGTGATAAAGGCGGGCCAGGACCCCCCGGATCACAAGGTGACCGCGGAGTGAAGGTGAGATAACTTTTTTTTTATCAAGTCGTTTTTACCTCATCGCTGACCGCTTAACTTCTTTTATATAATTTGATAGAGATCCGAGCAACTCATGCCCGGTTAGGCACAATTTTAGAACTTTTTTATGACGAAAGAAAAGAACGAGGCAGTCTTCATAGTGCTTCTTTCCAAAGAAGTTCACTAGCGACCTCGGAAGGCGTGCACGAGAAGAAAATCGTATTATATTAAAAGTACTTATTCTGATAGTCTTCTCCGGAGTAATATTTGTGATAAGCCCTATGTAGCTGTTTAGTTCTCGACCCTTAAAATCTTATTGTTCAACTTGCCAATATCCATTCTATTTTCGTCAGGGTCAACCGGGCGTTGACGGTCCTAAAGGACCCCGTGGGCCGCCGGGGCCCCCGGGGCCTCCTGGAAAAGTTGTTTTAAATTTCACTGGACCTGATATTGGGCCACTCGAGGGCAGGGTGGTAAGTAAACCTTACTCCTTTGGTATACTTCAAAAAACATTTAACATCCATGATGATTTATATCTTTATGCCTTAACGCTATTTGTAGCTGCTTATTCCCTGGCAGTTGTATTGCAGATAAAATGAAAGAACACGGAAATTATCTTATGTTCAAAAAGCAGCTGAGTTCTCTTGCACAGTTTCTGCATTACTTAAATTGCGTTTCACATCGAGGGAAATTTTTACACTTGAATATCATTTCCAGGTCAAAATACAATTTATTTCATTAAATTAAATCTGACTGTTCTGTAAAGAATTTACCCTTGTTGTCAGTGAAACTACAGCTAGGCTCAGCCATCAGCTCGCTCATTGCTCGGCAGAAGAGGAGTATACCCCGCGTAAAAAGCAATTTGACAGCAGCTCAAGAAACCATACTCGATATATGGTCAAAAGCTATGGTGAAAGACGTTTTGTGTATCAACACTACAGCCTGTTTGTTTTAGGTTCCGGGTGGCTCTAAAGGACCTAATGCTGGATTCATTACAGTGAAAGGAGAAGCAGGAGAGCCGGTAAAATTGTATTAAAGTCGAATTTATTCATGCTCCCTTGCTCGAAATGGACGGTTATGTTCGCTAAATTATTTTACATTTGCTCTCTTTTTTCGTTTCTTGCTTTTCAAATGGAATATTTTTAGGGGTCTCGTGGAGTAGCGGGAACTCCGGGTTACCGTGGGCCAGACGTGAGTAAAAACTTGAATTTGCAGTAATAGGTGATCTGTATCTTTTTTTAATATTTCAATGTGGTTTGCCCAAGAAGAGGCATTGTGGTTGGGTTGAGAGCGCATTTGACTAACAATTCAGAGATTACGGTGATTAGACTCGTAAACTGTCGATTAAATGTGACATTTTTTCGGTAACTAGATGCACATCTGCGTCTTTTCAAGCGCTCGTAGTAGTACCATATTGGCAAGGCATTCATACGGTTTTCACTTTAACTTTACGGGCATAAAAAATTGGCATGTTGAAAGCACTTAACAGCGTGTGGAAAACATTATTCCTTCCAGTGCAGTGTTTTAGACCTGCTTGTGAAAAGAGCCAACTCACGCGTGCACTAATAAGCCGCGACGGTGATCTGCGACTGTGAACACGAGCAACCTCATATTTTAAATCCAGGCTTGAGTAGAAAATGAAAAGAAGAGAAAATGGATGCTAATCCAATTACTGAGTAGATTCTTTCTACAGAACATGGTCTGTGAAGCGGTCAAAGCACGATACATGGTTTCAGGATTAATGAGAATCATTACTTACATCTAACAGACGAACTTCGTCTTTATTCATCCAGGGCACGCCAGGGGAGAAAGGACAAATGGGGCCTGAAGGAGAGAGAGGAATATCGGTAAAGCTGAATTTAGACCTTTTAAACCAGTATTCAAACAATAGTCTCAATTTAACGAGGTAGCCTTTTGTACGGATATTGTATGCTTGCTTTACTTAACTTTAGAGGTTAACAATTTTTCGGAGATCGAGATTTTATGTAAACTAATCTGGCATTACTAAGGAGGACCCGTGTCCTCGTTCACTTAAATGAAAGGTTAAATTTAGATGAAAGTATGAGATCTATATCAGATCAATCAATGATAACAAGAGGAAATGCTTTTTGACACTTGTTTGTAGGGCGCACCTGGTTTACCAGGCCCTCCAGGTTTGCAGGGAAGAAATGGAGAGGATGTAAGTAAAAGTGTAATTGAAATATCTCCACGTTTCATCCCAAGTGCTGCAATTTAAAATCCGTGCTAGTTTCGTAAAAATGTAAATCGGGTGTGATAGTGATACGCATTTACTTCGTCGTACAAAGTATTAATGTGTGTTCATTTGTTAATGAAGGGTGCTCCTGGTCCCACGGGTGAGCCTGGTGAGACTGGTGTCCAAGGAGAACCGGTAAACGATAAGCTACTCAATTACTCATTATTCCAAAGTTAGGTCGTTACGGATAAAAGTGAGACCTTGCCGTATAGACCGAGCGATAACGTGTCAGGTGGTCAGGAGTCGATGAATCGGTCACTAATTCAATGGCATTCAGCAGACAGTCCGTCGAACGGTCAGCTAATTAGCCACTAATTCAGACAGAGAGTTAAACTGAATCACTGAGCCAATTAGTCAGAAAGTCTGCAGGCAAGTCAACCAGTCAGTCACTTAGTCAGTCAGTAAGTAAGTAGGTACGACAGTCAGTCAATCACTGTCAGTAAATCCCAGTCAGTTAGCCACGAGTCAATCAGTCCACTTCTTGGTAATTCAATTAGTCAGAGAGTACGTTTATCGCTGTCGGAATTCACAATCAGTTAGTCACAAGTTATTCAGTCAGTCAGCAAGCTAATCAGTCAGTCATCCAGCCAGTCGGTGAGTCAGTTATTCAATTAGTCAGAGAGTCGGTCAGTCTGCAGTCATTCAGAGAGTAAGTCAGTCGGTCAGTTCATCAGTAAGTCACTCTTGTGTTTGTAGCGCAAAACAACCGTTTGTTTGTCTATCAAATATTCGACACGATCTATAAAACATTTATTTGTTGCAGGGACCTGTTGGGAACCCAGGTCCCATTGGTTTATCTGGTATCAAAGGCGATAGGGTAAGTAATTATCGTCATTGTTGTTGTTTAATTTCTTTTTTGTTGTTGTTGTGCTGTTAAGTCCTTAATAAGTGTTTTTCATGAATATTGTTCGCATCCGACCAGAGTATTTAGATTTCCAGTTACCTTGCTACCTCAGGGCATGAAATTGCGCCATATAAAGGCGCGATGACAGCGTAAAAAAGAGGTTTTGTTTGTCTTTGAAAATGGCGACCAACTTTTCTTGAATTGACTACCACTTTGAAGAATTTAGGAGCCAAGTGGCTGTCAGAAAAAAAAAATTAATTTCACGCCCTGTACCTTGAGCGACAATTGTGCATCTAACAGTTTTGTAAGACTCGAGCGATAATGTTACCTTAACAGGAAGCATTGTTAATTTTTTTCTGATTGAAACTGGAAAACTTTCCAGGGAGAACAAGGTGAACCAGGAGAAGTAGGAGATCAGGGTAAATTTGGACAAACGGTGAGTCAACGCTTTACACCCTTACGTAAGTATTAATGTTCTCCATTCTGTTTTTGTACATTTACTAAGGTGCTGACAAGGAGAATTTGTCGAACAATCAATAGTTTCTTTAGTTGGTGATCATTTCCTCTATTCTCATGACGTTAATGTGAGATTCAGTGGTAATATTTTTTAAGGAGAAAATAGATACTAGTCACTCATAGGTGCTGAAGGGTTAAGCCAGGCAATAATCATGTACATTTGCATTCCTCTTTGAAATGGATGAAAACCGTTCAAAGGTGCTGCTATTTTAAGTAGTCATTTACTGGAATAAGATGACAAGATTTTGAAATTCTTTGCTGTTTTTCCCATTGTTCCACGCTGGTGCCAAATGCTCAAAATGTCTCTTTTCCCTTTCTAAATGTTTTTATGTCCGTGTTTGTTTAGGGATTTGATGGAAAACCTGGTCGAAATGGCGTCAATGGGAGGAAGGTGAGTTTTAGAAGATAATTGCCACCGTAACTAGTAAGGGAAGGAGTGCGATTTTAACTTTCGAGAGAGAAGTTACCCACATTTTTCCTTAAAGACGAAAAAAATCGGACCAGTCAACATGTTAACCCAGAAGTTCCGCCAGTATTTCATGTTAACACTTTTCTTTTTATCATTCTTACCTATAGGGAGAACAGGGACTCCCGGGTCCGCTTGGGCTTCCGGGACTCAGAGGTTCACTTGTGAGTAAAAAAACGAACTGTGTTGTGTCCTTTGTACAATCTGGAATTGTCCGACTAGTTTTCGAAACACTTTGTCTCGAATTGTTATTTAGCAAGCGAAGTGACAATAATAGACTCTTAAATAATGGATGTTCAATAATCATTATCACATTCTGTAAAGGCAGTACTTTGGTAAGGAGTCTTTCACCGATAATTTGTCGTTATCAACCGTTACATGTACGAAGGAAAGCCGTGCCCATTCATAAAATTGTAGATAAGTTTGGTTTAATCAACTGAGTTGATAATATAAATTGGCCACCGCGCAGCGTTTCAGAGCTGACGTTTCTAGCGTTGCAATTGGCCCTACATCAGAGCAAATGACGAACGGCTGACGCTCGAAACGTCAGCTATGAAACTTTCTACGGGGGCCAATTTTCTTTATGAACTGAGCTGATACAACCAAAATTATTTTGTTATACTCCCCCACCGACGCTGCTCCGCAGTTACATTAGAAACTTTTTATTCATTTATAAAAAATATAGGTCGGATTGAATCTCACTCAATGACGAGACGACATTGGTTTTGAATGCTGTCAGCCTAGAATATCTTTCTCAAACTGGGAATTTTTTTTTTTTACGAAATGGTTCACTGAGGCGATTGTAATTTTATTTCTTATTATCATGGCAGGGTCAACAAGGTCTACCGGGCGGGCCAGGACCAGAAGGACCAGCGGTAACTAACAGAACTGTATTTTAGGTTGCAATATTTGCAAACTATCTAGCTTGATGGGTATGGGAAAATTATACATTGCATCAGACCGGCCATGGTCTGTTGTAGTGTTTTTTTTTTCTCTTTGCCAGTTGTCTCCCTTCTTTTAATCGCCCGAATCATTTGTCTTTGTATAGCTTTCTAAGTGTTGAGTCCATTTTTAACCGACACTATACAATCTTCAGGGTGCTCCCGGAGAAATAGGTGAACCAGGAAATGCTGGAGCTCCTGGACTGAAAGGCGACAGAGGGCAACCTGGGTTACGTGGGAAACGCGGTTCAAACGGGGAAACTGGGCCCAGTGGACCTACTGGACAGAAAGGAGACTCGGGTGAAAAAGGTCGACGTGGCCAAACGGGACAACCTGGTGCCAAAGGAGCGACGGTATTGAAAGACAATTTTGTTACAAATTTTCACGCTTTATAGTTCTACGTGTTATATCTTCTTCGGGGTATTACTTGATCTATGTTAGATTCTGTAAATTCTTTAAAATGACTTACACCGAGTAATAGATAATAAACTACGCAAGAACTACCTGTATTGTGGTTATCATTTGGGATCACGTGCCCCCTTTGTCACGAAGGATATGGTATTTGTTGAAAAGAAAAAGAGCGCCAAAGTCGATTTTTTTAGGCTCCTCGTTTACAGCGCGTTGTGAACATCGTTTCACAACTCGACACTGCATTTTCTATGTGGTTCTTATCATGTTGCAATATGGGTGAATTTGAAAGTCGTACCATTTGGGAAAAATGTTGAGTCACTGCCTATATTTGATAATGAAGACATTACTTCTAATCGTCAGGGTCTCGTCGGCAACATGGGCCTCAGAGGAGAACAAGGGAAGGAGGGCACTCCGGTAGGTAGCCTTAAGAAATTTGAAAAGCCCCAACTTAAGTGTTCGTATTCTGCTCACTGTTATACGTAAAATGAAGCACTGATAAAGATAATTTTTCTGACAATCTGGACCTTTTCAAATAAGTGACCATTTCCTTTTTCTCTCGTGACCAAAATATTTAATTTAAGGGTGATACTGTAACGAGAAATCGGACGCAAGTCACTCTTACAGTTTGAAGGGTTAATTTTTTAAAACAATTTCATCAAATAAGTCCTTGATTATTGTTTATATAATAAATTGATTAGTAACTTGCCGCAACTCTTCATTATACAGTAGCTTTAACTGCCTGTTTACATGTCAACTCCAAAAAACGCAAAATCATGTAGCACTTAATGAGAACAAGGTCAAACATGGTGTTCACAGTTTCTTGATTTGCTCAAAATCGTGTTCTTTTCTCTGCTTGCAAGGGAATCGATGGTCAACCAGGCTCGGAGGGAGGAAGAGGAGAGAGGGTAAGTTATTATGGAGAAATTTGAAAATACAGGTACACGAACAAACGAGGTGCAAAACGATAGCGTAATACTTGAAAGTCTTAGAAGTTTCACCTTTCATTTATTTTCAATTCAGCATCCCTATATAAAAGGGAACGTTAACATTTTATGAATAACTTTGGTGAATGACGTTCCATTAAAAGACTTAATGTCTTCAGCGGAAAAAATTTCAACATGTCAACGCTTGTGAGAATCTGAAATTCCTAACAGCGAGGATTTGTCTCATGTGTTAGCAGTGCTAAGACAAAAAAAAAGGTAAATAAGGGCTGGTAAAAACACACTGAGGACTACAAAAATAGCTGTATTACATTTGCAATGACCTCATGCAAGAGAGCATTTTTAGGGCCCCCCAGGAACAGCAGGACCAAGAGGAAGACTAGGAGCGAAAGGAAATCGGGTAAAGTGCTTCACTGATGTTAGATCTGAATTTGATATAGATAGTATGTTATGTGAAAAATTGTTTTGAAATAAAAAAAGAAAAATTGTTTATGCTTAAGAGGTGTAGGTTAAGGTATGACGTAAGTTCATTTGTTCATGAAATAAAAGAAAACAATTACTACGTGAGGAGAGTTCCCCGTTATGTACGTTTAATCATGAGATTTGAAACGCATTTTGTAAACAATGAGAGAGCTATATCTTGTAAAAACATGCCATGAGAACTTTATATTTGGTTTTTCTCACTTTTTCATCAGACGCTGGATGTTTAAATGCATTTTTGAAAGATGGTTCCTTTTTTTATTCAACCTAGGGTCCTTCAGGGCAGATTGGAGCCCCTGGTCCAATTGGCTCGCGTGGAAAAAAGGTCAGCAAGTCTTTATGTTTGAAGACGAACAAGTGCAAGAGCTCCCCTGATCGAGAATGAATAAATATGTTGCACCTAAAGTATTCCGAAGCTCAATTTCTTCTGAGAGAATTAATAAATATATTCCATGACGCCATGCGTCAGTCTAGGAATGGATAACAGTTGACTTCAAATTGTGGTAACTACTAAAAGGTGGCACACGGAACGCAGTCGTGTGTGTCAGTGATATTCTCGCCAAATCTTGGCGTCTTCTGCGATCTATTACTGGACAGACGTGCCGCAACTTGGAATAATGTTGATGGTGAAGTCAATCAAAATGCGTATGTAATTTAGCATATCGTGTTATCAAAGAATGAGTGGAAAATATGTATTCTTTATCACCTTTTTCGTGTAATTCTAGGGTTCTAGAGGACGACGAGGAGCAAGAGGCCTTCCTGGTGAGATGGGCCCAGAGGTAGTGTGCTGTATACTTTTTAGAAAATCAACGTAAATTTGAGTCAAAGTTTTTTTATATTGAGTTTATATTGAAATTAATTTTGTTATTCTGACCGCCACGAGGCTCTGAATTTAAAAATTTGTATTTGTTGTTTCTAGGGACTTCAAGGTGAAGTTGGTTACCATGGAGCTTTTGGTCTGGCAGGGAAAAAGGTAAACGTAGTCAAACCACTAACACACAGAAGCTTAGGAGGGCCCCAAAAGCTTACAAAAGGATTATCTGGATGATCGAGGCGTCATCGTCTGGGTGAGAGTAGTCTGAGAAGGACTAAAATCAATAATGGTGATTGACGTTCCGACAACTTTGGTGGAAGTCATTGACTCTGATGATGACTTCCGCCAAGATGGTTGGAAAGTCAGTCACTACAAGAAGGAACAGTCCTTTTCCAAGACTTCCCTCACCCGAGCGATCAGGCTACACTACCAAATCCTTGAATCATTGTTTAGCAGCCCAACTGTTACACGGTCAAATGTAACTCCTGGGTTCGAACTTCTAAAAAGTGGAATGAGCACGAAAAACTGGCAGTATTAACAAAAAATATGAAGGACTGTAGTAAACATTTCTGTTTTTTTAGTTTTTTTCCGAGTAATGAATTATGTTTACGTCTACAGCGTTGAAATGAATGTGTTCACTCAATGTCTGCTAAGTTGCATGTCTAGTCAATGCGTCCTGCGCAAAAAGAAAAGGAAAACGCTCTTTAACTAGAGCTATATTTGGATCAATATCAGTATCTGGGCAACTACCCCTCCCCTAACTCAACAACAGTCAATTGATAACAAGTTAGGGTTAATGTTGGGTTAGGGGAGGGGTAGGTGGGCAGTTGCCCAGATACTGATATTGATCCCTATATTTTTCATGCGCATTTATTATTCTCAAGTACTTTCGTTCTTTTGAAAGGGCAACGCTGGATTACCAGGGATAGACGGAATTCCTGGAACCAAAGGAGATCAGGTAAAGAAGAGATGAGAAGTTTGAATATTCTCATTACCTGTTTGCTGGATAAAGTATGGATATTGTACGGAGAAGTTAAAGGGTTAACAGCAATTGTGCTTGTTTCCTGGAAGTAAGGCTTGCTCAAAGTATCTTCATCTCTTCATTAGGGATCTCCTGGAGTGGCTGGAAATCCTGGGAGCCCTGGAATGAGGGTTAGTTATTTTCCAGCAAGTGTTTATAACTGAGAAATTCAGTTTTTTCAACATTACTACAACAAAAGATATTTTTTCTACCTTGATTTAGGGGATTGGTGGACAGAGAGGAAGAGCAGGGAATCCGGGGGCGATTGGATCAAAGGTGAGCGTTTGACAGGGGTTTCAATGAAAACTAGTTATCGGTGGGGTGTACCGCTGCCTATAAGATTTCTTACCGCCGTCTGTTAAGCCTAAGGCAGGCTTTCGTGTTGGCTTTCCCTTCACAGACACTTTTCCGGGTATGGCCACCAATTACAGCGCTGGCAGCCACTTATGGAAAAAGTCATTGAAAACCCTGTGGGAACACCCTGGCGATACTTCTACCTTTAAAGTAATTGAGATAATTTACAGATTTAGTTGTTCTTTTTTAAATCTTCATTGTTATTATTATTTATTTCAGGGCTTACCAGGGGAGGATGGCACTCCGGGAAGAACAGGAGATACCGTAAGCTAAATGTTCATTTGATATTTATAAGCTGGCGTAGTAGTACCTGAGCCGGAGTTTGAAAAACCATATGAATTATTTTAAGATGGATTCCGTCTAAAATAATTAGACTTGCTGGCTAGAATACTTGTTTTGAAACTCCATAAAAAAGTATTTCATTCAAAATGCTTGATATTTCCTAATAAACAGGATGATTTCAGTGCCGGCAATGATAACGTTATCCCCTGTGTACTCAGTACTCGGCGACGATCGGAGGAGAAAACAGACGAATTTACCTTTTGGTAGCTTTAATAATTTGTTTGTTTTCTTTTGTTAATCGTTAGGGTCTACCAGGCATTAATGGCTCACCTGGCCTTCGAGGAGCAAAGGGAACAATGGTACTTAGCAACGTAACTTTCACTGTCCACGGACAATGGTCAAAACATCCATGAGCGTTTTTTTTTTTTAAAATTTTTATTCAGGGCCAACAAGGTAAAGATGGATCGTCAGGCCGTGTGGGATCGAGAGGACCAAAGGTGAAATTGCTCCACTTTAATATTTAATTTTAGGAATCTTCCTTCTGATATCCGTTATTCATTTTTTATTTCGTTATCGGTAGGGTGATAATGGTGCTAAAGGCTCGACTGGGACACCCGGAAGAACAGGAAGAGCTGTAAGTGCTTAAAATCGAAAGGACATCAATGCGAATAACAAAAAAAAAATTAAAAGAATACCTATGGCCAACTATTGCATAAAGAACTTAATCTAGAGTTTAAACATGGTTGTCAACTTCTAATTATCGGTCTTACTGCAAGTTTGCTCTTATCTCAAAAGCCCCGCTTCTGGAGAATCACGGAGAGTTCTGCAATTATGGTAACCATCCAACTCCGCAGAATGATAAACGCATATATCCACATATCAGTGAATGAGTGAGTGTGTGAGTGAGTTATTTGCATATCGGAGTCCCCATTAAAACTTGTTTACACGAGTTAGAAATGAGAAGAAAATCAAGAATCAGCCGTGAACAGAAACGAATCAATGCTAATGGCTTAAAGCTATCCTTTTCTTCAAAAGGGGCGTCGTGGTGAACGAGGCATGATGGGTCTCCGAGGTTTACAAGGACCTGTGGTAAGTTTGTAGAGAGTATCTGATATGACTTCCGCTCATGTTACCCTAAAGACCTTCCTAGGGTCACCCTTACCTGGAAGATAATAGCATACGTTCGCCAGATTTGACAGTTGTATTTCACTATTCCCATTTATCCGTGCATCCATCACCCCAACCTTGTCAATATGAGAATGATGGTCGGAGCACAACAGCGAGAGTCTCGTGTTCCACTTTGTCCGCATTGTGCTTAAGGTCTTTTAAAGGTATATCTTGCTAACCATGTAAAACTAAAGATGTAGGCGACGGACCCCGCAGTTTTGAGTTCCTGTTCGAAAGGACTAAATTGAACGATTTGTAGATGAAGTTTCAAAGGTTTTATGTTAAGATCTTGTCTGATCAGGTTGAAACCCTCGACTCGCATCTCTTCCAATTGAGCAACCACTGCAGTAGTTTCATCCTCGCGTAAACTAAAACACTCTTATCCGTATGACTCTAGGGAGTAGCTGGAGTTCCTGGCCCTATGGGCAACACTGGACGTCCCGGTCTCCGGGTAAGAAAAACTGGATGAATGTCTCAATGGTTTGAAATTGTATGGAAGAAATCTCAACTTTGTAAGGTTAAGCCAGCTGATATAATCAAACTTGTGCCCAGTTTCCGCCTCAAAAAAGTTTCATTTTCCTTATTAATAAGCTACGGTTTCCAGGCATTTCCTGAGCGACCCTCTTTGTAGGGAGGGAGCCTAGAGGTATTTTAGTTTATAGCCCAAACTTTGCGTTAGCTATTTTCTCGCTTTCTTCAGGGACGAACAGGAGAACGTGGAAAGGACGGTAAAATTGGTCAGCTGGTAAGTCGTAACTCAGCCTCGATATTTGGTTCCATGAGGATGTTTCTTTTGTGTCGATTAATCAGGCAACGACTCTTCTAATAAGCTTGTTAGTGGCCAGAAATCTTGGTTCATAAGAGATGGGTTTCTCCCAAAAAGCATTAAGGCCGCACTTCTTCAACACAAACGTTGTTGACATGCCACAGCGTGTTGCGCTAACTAACCAAGGATATTATTCTATTTTTCCACAGGGTGACCGTGGTCCAGTTGGTAAACCTGGGCTGCCTGGACCCCAGGTAAGTCTTGAAAGTAAATTATAAAGTGGTATATTATTCCTCTATTATTTTACTGACATTTCCTTTTTGGGTATTTTTGGTTAGGGCCCACCTGGAAAAGTTGGCAAAGCTGGAAGTAATGGCGAAGATGGAGCTCCGGTAAAGCTAATATGTGCATCCATTAGAATGTATTGCTTTATGTGAGCAGTTTATTCTTTGGAAAATTAAAACTGTGAATTAGCATATGTGAAGCCAAAGCAACGTGTATTGTTACTAAAACCTCTCTTTTTATCCTTGAGTTAATCTATTCGCTTATAAACCATTCAACCTGTAAGTATTCACAACGAGTGAAAAGGCATTATCTGAGATCAAACGTGTGAGGAAAACTATGACTTTCTCATATATTTAACTTTGTTTCTTTTTCATTAACATATTCTTTGTTTCTATTTTTAAGGGCGGGGCAGGACAACGTGGATCTCGAGGTCGAAATGGAAATTCAGGCTCACCTGTAAGTAGATGTTTGGTTATCTACATTTTTCACGTTTAGTCGCGCGCAGAATCAGAACTTACATAAAATTAGAGAAATATGTGACGCAACAATTGAGTTATATTACCCTGCTTTTCCTGCCCCACATAAAAAATAAATGGTAGGGCGTTGAACCATTGATTTATTTTTATTCATTATTCAAATATTGCTCATTTTACGAGCGCGCGAAGGCAAGTGCTAGATAAATGTGAATGACACATGAGTTTGGCGTGAAAGTATTAGGGCAAGCGCAGGTTACACTCCCTTAGCTGTATCGATAGCATAGCGCGCTTATTCACCTCTGAAAAACGTCAAAAAGTAAACCAGTTCTGTCAACAGAAGCGATTGGTAAGTACCAGTACTTTTTTTCTCTTCAGGGTTGGCCGGGGTTACGTGGGTTTTCTGGAAAAAGAGGATCGAAAGGAGAAAAGGTTTGAAAATAATTTTCATCTCCTTATACCCTCAGCGGTAGTATGCACATTCCCCACACTACTCTCTCTACATTCCTGGTGTGATGGAGACGAGGAGACTTTGGTCAGAAAATCAAGAGCTTATGAAGTTGTGATCATTTCCCTTACCTTCCTTTAACATTGCTAAAGTCTGTTTTGTGTCACAAATTGTTTTCAACATTCTTATATAGGTGTCAATTAAGGATTGTATCTAGCTAAAAGGACAAGGTGACCTCTCAACCCTTTTTTATGGACTTTTGGCGTAATTTCTCATTTTGTTACAGGGAATTATGGGGAATCCTGGCTTGCCTGGTGATGATGGTCAGTCTGGTGCCCCGGTAAGCTATTCAACTTTCTCAGTGAAGTTCACTTACTTCTGACATAGCGATTTTATTATGTATTTAATCATGTAAATATCTTTTTTTCTATTGCACTCATTTTGGACTGGTGATCCTCGTGACCTAATTGTCTCTCAGCGCAGTGCGATTGACTCGATTCATTGTGTTAAGTTTTAAGCCGGCTTTTTTGAAAAGTAATCAAACAGTGCACACGTTACTTTTATAATTGGACAGTGTAATAATCAAAGTTACTCTGGGAAATTTTTTCGTCTTTTTGTATATTTACATTCTATTTATCATCATTTTAAGTGCGCTCTATTAAGAACCGTCCTCTTCATCTCTTGTGGTACGTAAGGCAAGAATAATTTCTTTGCGTTTAGCTCTGTTTTTTTACAGCATATTATGTCTCCCCAAATTCAAGTTTTACCTCACCGAGCTCATCAAGCTCACTAGGCTCACCGAGCTTAGCAATGTTAGCTCGGCGCCAGGACTCAGTTCAGAGACCGTTTTTAATTTTGACAGGGAGAGGACGGAAGACCTGGATCACTTGGAATGCCAGGTCCACGTGGAGCAAAAGTGAGTGATTGCCATGCCGGTTACGTACGTTGGTATGGATCTTTTAGGTTGAAGTTCATGTATGGCACTTATATAAGAGTAAAAAAGAGTTGCATGTATTTAATGATATTTAGATGATCTCTTCGACGCCATATTGACGGATTAGGCTTCATCAATAGGGAGATTACGCCACCGAATCGCTATAAACTTGATCGTCTTGTTTATCTCTTATTGTCATCAAGAATGGCTTGCAATTCCCTTATTGTAAAATGTTCCGAATAGCTTCTTCGTGTAACAGGAAAAGTTGCACTAATAAGTACGAAGAATCTGTGGGATCAAAGCGGGCAATCCCGAGCGAGTTTCCCATTAGAACACAGGATTTGCTTTATATTTCCCGCCACGTTCGCCGCTGGAGAAAGTGACGGACCAAAAAGAAAAGGTTGAGGAGCAAAACGGTGAACTACAACTTGAAAAACTACCATAAAATTATTGACATAGTCACAGTATCAACAAATTTACTAAGATTCTTTTTTTATCACAGGGGAATGATGGTGTAAACGGAATACCAGGTCGAAGTGGAAAGAGAGGTTCAGAGGTAACTATAGATTTGCAATTACTATTTCTTTATTTAAGTTGGCAAATGGCGACTTAAAAAAGTTGATCTTGGATCCCTGTTCTTTCCTTTTGGCGTCAATCTGAAGGTTTCAGAATTTTACTAGATCAAGGAGCCAATGGAAACATGGAATAAAACCATGAAAAATGTAAAACGCGAGCGACCAAGCCGCAATTGGTTTAGTTTTGATTTAGTTTCGAGTTTTCTTGGCCAATCACCGAGCGAAACAAAGCAAAACCAGTAGAACCTCAGATTACTTTCGACACTCCGTAGCAAATTTTTCACAGCCATTTTAAATTCTTATTTCTGTTTTTTACTTTATTTTAGGGCTTGAAAGGCCCACCAGGAACGCCAGGAATTCCGGGATTGATGGGAGGACCTGTAGGTTGACCTTTTTGCTTCATTATGATAATAGTTTTCTATGCCTTACTATCTTTTCTTCTAAGTTTCCGTTTGACAGCGAGTCGGGCTTATTCTTAATGGATCATGTAAGCAAACGAACGAGTGATACGAAGCGCCATCAAATAAATGGAAACGTCACCCTTACACCTGATGCTCTTCTTAAAAGAATCAATTGGTTCTTGGCTGTTCTCAATAGCGACTTTTATACTTTATATTCCTTAATTTTTCTTGACATTTCGTGCGATAGTTTCAAAGCGACTCATGTTTACAATGATTTTCCTCATCATTTTCTGTTTTTACTAACGATTTTCCCTCTTGTAAAACGTTATTTCTTTTTCGGATCTACATGTAAAGAATAATATACTGTGGCACTGCGTACTTAACCAGTGCTAACACTGATCTCATTTCATGTTTTCGAGAATTGTCTCAGCCTGTTTCAATAATTAGGTAACTATATGTAACTTCGTTTGGTTTTTTTTGTTTTTTTTTGGTCCTTTTGTTTGTTTGTTATTGTATGTTTGGAGATAGTAAAGATCACATGAAAAACGTGCCTCGCATTTAAATTACTGAAAAGTTCGTGATTGTTTTTCCACAGGGTCCCTTAGGACCACAAGGTCCTGCGGGACAAAAAGGAGGACTTGGAGATAAGGTAAGTCCATTTGAGAATTCTCCCTCTGATTAGGTTTGTGTTCGGTCCGTGTGGGCCAAATCACTGACCATAAATATAAATACCGGACAAACATTACGTCTATAATATTATGAGGTCTTTGCCAACATTGATCACAAAGTCTGTAAGTTGACTGGCAGGTAACATTGACAGTTTTCTTTCTTAATTTGTTTTTGACGTGACGTCACGGTAGCCGTATTGATCAGGTAATCAACGACATGGCGGCCATGTTAGTCTGCCGAAGTACTCATGGATCTCAACACTTTTCTTTGTAAACAGTTCTGTTTATTCTAGAGATTTACATAGCTGCCTAGCACATGACTGAAAACGTTATTTTGGTAATTGATAAGAATTAGCAGAATGATTAGTCATAACGTTCGGTGGCATTACAATTATTTTGAACCAACCGAATAATAAAAACCATGGATGTAACTCTAAATTGATTTGGCTCGTCTCTCGTAATTATTTGAAACATATGATATCAAATTTATCCATGATTTTCTTTTACCAAGGGAGGGAAAGGCGAAATTGGAGACCTGGGAACCAAAGGAGCAGCTGGAGAATTGGTAAATGTGAATTATTGACTAGCGATGTATGTTCTGTTTTGATATACTTTAGGCTTCATAAAATTACGGTTCGCTCACCAAATATCTCCACTGTTCGTGATGTTGATCGTGAGAACTATTTTGTAACGCACACTGAATCAAGAAGACTCAAACAATTTAGCTTTATTTAGCAGTTGCAAACAAATGACATTTGTATAATCAGGGTGAATATTCTGGTTAGTATTCGTCTATGCCGTGCATATGTACATTAGCCTCAATCAGCGCGAAAATATGTCCTGATACTTGTCCTCGTATTCAAAGTGTCTCGAGAACAATCAATAACCATCATCCAACAATTATATATGTTTTTTGGCTGCGAAGAGGAGAAAAGCGTTTGCAAACAACCCAGCGCGAAAAATGAACAAATAAAAACAACGCTGATAACTTGGGGTTAGACTACTTTTCCGCGTTTTCTAGTTAGACTTGATGAGAAAAATCTAGCAAAACGCTCCTCCATCTTAGTAGGTAAATGTTTCAAAAAGGAGTTTTCTTTGAGAAATGCGAGACTCGAAAATTAGGGGATATTTTAGTGGGGAAGGTCATCGGGTATTCCTTAGTTTTACTTATGTTTCTCCACGTAGTGTGTTTAGGAGAGTCACGCACGAGCAGAAATATTGAACAGATTGCAAACACGTACTACACCACTCTAACAATAACTCTTACCAAGTACTCTTGCTTGTCAGCAAAAAAGCCGTAACGGAGTTTAGAAAAATCCTATTAATTGGATTTAAAACACGCTCAACACCATACTAACGTTAGCTCTTACGAAGTGCACTCACCTACAAATATAAATACCTAATCGTGTTAAATATTCAAGTTGTGTCTGAAATTGCAGGGTTCCATCGGGTCTGAAGGCGAACCTGGTAATGAAGGACGTCCTGGAGCTGTAGTGAGTACCACTTTGTACCAACTTGATAGCTAAATCATTGTTATGAATTATGCCACGTGGTTTGTTGTAACAGAACGTTCTATTCCTCTTATCAAGGGTTTAAGAGGTACACCAGGCAATCCAGGCCGTCCAGGTCCTCATGGAAGAGAGGTATGGCTTTTGCTTTTAAAAACTTAACTTAGCTTGGTTTACTTTAAAATGTTTATTTTCTTTGTTTGTTTTTTCTTTGGTAAGATTTTTTAGCTTTGAGAGTTTTGTGTTAAATCAGTCGTTATCCCCTGTTTTATTTCTTTTCTATTATTATCTTAAATGCTTAAAGATGATATGGAGTTGTTTAAAAAATGTCATTTTTAATCTCGCCCCGGAATGAAACGGTTAAACCAACTCACCTGATCGTTATTCCTGTTTTTGAAACGTTCTCGTTTGCTGTTTTTAAGTTTTGTTTCGTTTTCTAACAATATTGTGATGAATGTGTATCGTTTTGTTGAATATTTGATAGTTAAATAAATAGAAAATTAAAATGAATTCTTTTTTCCAGGGTCCTGCAGGTAGACCAGGAAAAGATGGTAGACCAGGCATTCCTGGCACAAAGGTTTGTTAAGTGTACCTTCGCCATTTAAATAGAGGAAACTGAATCTAAACGATAAGTTCTGAAAGAAAGAGACAAGAAAGAAAGAGGAATTGTAAAGGGATTGGACGCAAAAGAGTCAATTCATTTGTTTTAAATCAATTTGTTGTTTATCCCAGGGTGCCCAGGGACCTCCTGGACGAGCAGGAAAACCTGGACTGCCAGGGCTTCAGGTACTTGACGTTTGATTGAGTTTTATGTGAAAGTGAACGAGACTGTTTGTTAAATTTTTTCCTCTCTGTTTTAATCTTATCAGGGTATATTTGGAACAAGTGGCGAGAATGGTTTATCAGGCAAACAAGGACAGATGGTAATTTATCATCTGATACACCAATGTCATCATTACCTTAGTTACGGGGGACAAAGACATTGACTTGAGCGCATGGGCTATTGAGACCAGTTCCTTGTGGCACCTACCAATGCACTTTCCAACAGAAGTTGACACTTCACCTAAAATTAAGAAAAGCATCAACCAAAAACAAAGAAACAAAGAAACGCTACGCGTTTAAAAAAAAATAATTTATATAGAATCATACCTGAGAGAATTCGGAATCCAGCCAAAAGGAAAAGTCCCCCACCCTCCCCCCTGCAACCTGGTGAAAAGAAATAAAACTAAAATTGGCATTCAGGTCCCGCCTCCACTGTCTGAGATTAAGCCATTCTTAGCTTAATCATCCGACTTGACTGCTCAATAAGGAGCGTAAGATATAATATAAGATATAATATAATTCTGAGTAGAATGCTAGTTTTCATCACTCGTTTAACGAAATCATCAGTTACCATTTTTATGTTTTGTCGGTAGGGACAAATTGGACCACCTGGAGAACCTGGACCAAAGGGACACCAAGGAAGGGAGGTAATACGATTAGTATCATTATCTTTTATTTGCCTTATTTACACAATTCAAAAAATTTATTTACAACGGTTATAGCTAGGGGAGGAGACCCAGGAGGCCACCGGGCATATGATAGAGCCACCCCACCTACATTAATAAAATAAAAAGAGCTGCGAATGTGCGGCTAGGCCAATTCAGTGATTATTTGGTTAAAAACTCTTGCATTTTCGTCTTAAAACTAAGGTTTGACGAACGAGTGACTGAAACAGGAAGAGAGTTCCAAATTTTAGGACCTTGGTAGAGAATTGTAAATTGCTTGAGATTTGTACGGCAATGGGTGTAAAAAGGAAATATATTAAATAAATTTTTTTATGTAAATGGTGCCACGCCTGCTGGAGTGTTTGATTTAATCGGAATAGTAACATTAACATCTTGAAATTAACACCAACTCGTGCGCTATAAGAACAATTATGTAAGAGTTCTATGTTGCATCTACGTAGATATCAACGTATTTTTTCGAGTATTCGTTCTGTGACTTGTCACACTCTGCGTTAAGTGCTTGTTTTAAAAACACCTTGTAGGGAATACCCGGTTTCGCAGGACGTCCCGGATCGCCAGGAGCAGATGGAGAAGTGGTGAGTTAAAAAACATTCATAGTGACCTGCAATTTCAAATATAGTTGGTATGTTACCTGTTCATGGCAACCGATACCTTCTCTTTAGAAAGTCTATGGGAAACACTTTGAAATCAGCAGAAAACGGAAGCGCTGAAACCTTTTTTAGGAAACAATTGTTGAACAATTACCAGTACGTGTAACCCAACTTTGCCTAGGAATTGATCAAGAAGGACTTAGGAGGACGCTTGAAGCGGTTTTTTTGCGAGACAAATACCACGTGTATGCTGAATACTTAATTAGGAAAACACGCGCATGCATAAGTTGAACCAAATCACTAAAAAAGGTTCATGCGTGACTGAAAACGAACTGCATTTCGTTGGGAGACAGCCAAAATTATCCACCAATCTTGGACTCTCTTTTTCCAGGGAGATCGTGGGACTGATGGTATACCCGGCGCACTTGGTGAGCCTGGATTTCTGGTAAGTAAACCTTCGTAGCTTACTACTCCTTTAGCGAATGAAATGATTGAAGCACCAGATAACTCAAGCCATTATTTAGTTAGGTGTCTGCCACGGAATTGTAACCTGGAGTTCTCATGGTTCATGTTCAGGGAGGTCTTTTTCTTGTCTAACTTTCAGGGATTTCCTGGGCCAGCCGGGGACGAAGGATCCCCTGGTATCGATGGACAACCTGTAAGTAATCAAACAAGTAAACAAAGTAATCAATGAAGCAGTTTTCGATTGAGTTTCGAAAAATCGAAAGCAAAGTATTAACCATTACCAGTCAGAAAAAAGGTGACATTAGAATGAGAACTCTTCAGGCAACCTGTTTGAAGTGCAGGAAAACACAAGAGACCTAGTTGGAATTGGTTTTTAGTTTTTCGTTTCGTAAAGAGTGGCGTGTTTTTCTAAACCAATCACAGAGTAAAATGAAGCGAGGGCGAAGCAGTTCGGGATCTTTTTCTGTACTCTATTGGTACTTGCTCTCAGGAATACTAAAGAAAGCATACGAGAAAACAAATATACTCCAACCTTAATCTGCAGTAAGAACCGCGCATGAAAACCCTTAATCTTTTGTTCTTAGGTTACAGATTTCTCTTGAGAAGGAGTTTTGGAATCACACCGAATTAACGCGTTTTTTATGTCTGAAACACACTATTGTCTTGTGTTCCCAACTTTCCTGTCCAATTCCAACATTTCATTTCGCCGCTACTGTCGTTCTTTCCATAAAAATCATGAATTTGTTTCGTGATACGGAAATTTGAAATAAGTTCGAAACTTCAAGGTCGAAAGCATCCGTTGGCGGTGGGATTTCCTGCGCACTGCACTGAAGAGGCCTCCTGTAGTACCTAGATTAATCTTTTATTCTTCTTTGTTTGCCGTTCAACCAATCACAACAGTCTTAAACCCTTATGTGACTTGCTTACGATAATTGAAATTAGAAGCAATTTATTCATCTCCAAGGGGATCCGTGGACAAGACGGTGAGCCGGGACAAGATGGAGAGCCTGGAGAAAAAGTAAGGAACTCCAACCAAACTAACCTAATCTTCCAACTGCCTTTTCATTTAATCATCTTTTGTTTACATTTTCCAGGGAGACGAAGGGGAAAGTGGAAGACTTGGGAAGCCTGGGCAGCAAGGAATGATTGGTTTTATGGGAGAGTCTGGGGAGAAAGGGGAAAGAGGAGTTCAAGGAGAGACGGTGAGTAACGCGTAGGGGACAGACTAACTTCAGAGTGTAATCAGTATGCATATAGAATGATTGCGAATTAGTCTTGATGGGCAAATAAATCACCCCTCTGTTTGTGTGAAAGGAGTCTTTATTAAAACCTGATTAGCTCTGTTTGAAATTTTTCTTCTGTAGGGAGATATTGGCGCGAATGGAAGCACGGGACCGATAGGATTACCTGGAGCGGAGGTTGGTGTTTGTTATGTAACACTTTCTATGTTTTTTAGTTGTTTCTGTCCCTGCTGTTTTTGCGTTTTTGTTTTTTTGTTTCTTTTTCTTTTTGCTTTTGTTGGTTTGTCTTCATTCCTTTTCAGTTACCATCATAACTAACTTGTGAGGAACGATCAACAGAAAATATACAGCCATAATTAGCTTATTAATCTCTATTATAATATTGAAAGGAATTCAAACATTTCATGTACCCTGTCTGTTCCTTAGGGAATACATGGAGAGGCCGGCGACGAGGGAGACAGTGGATTAGAGGGAGAGACGGTAATTATTTATCCCTTACCTGCATTTCCCTTTTCCTCTTTGTTGTTATTGAACTGCTGCATCGATCACTTTTCTCTTTTTTGTCAGTGAATGTTTTATTTTACAATTTTAATGCTACACATAATGTTGCTCAAAGCTTTTAAAGAAGCCGGTCACAAGGAATAATATTCACCTAGGTTTCGCCTCATTGACATCTATTGATTAGTCATCTGTTTAGGAATCCTTGGCAAATTTTTCCCAAGTTTTTTTTTTTTATTAAATTAGACAAGCCGTCACTCGTTCTTCACAAACTCGGACGGAGCCATTCTGAAGTTATTACAAAGCACCTTTTTTTAAATCTATGTCGCGATATTTTTAAAAGATGTGGTACAATCTGAATCTTTTCTGATGTGCAAATTATTTTGCTTTCGCTGTTTGTTGAATCATTTATCCCCCGTCACCAAATTAGGTTAAATTCAAGAAAACAGACGAAGTTTATACATATGTCATTTCATTTCAGGGTGATCCAGGATTTCCAGGTTCCCTAGGAATGCCTGGTCCGCCTGGAGAGGAAGTAAGGAAAGACCTATCACCGTTTGACCCCTCAGAGTGACTAGCATCTAATTTGTCTTTACATTATCACCCCTGAATCAAACATTAAGGTCGCGAGAATAAAAGAAATGATCACATACATTAAAAAGCTATTGATTGTTTAAGAAATTCAATTCTCCTTGTCAGCCCCTTTGGAAATATATAGAAAAGAAAAGGAGACTATGTATACTGATGTTAGATTATAAAAGGTTAACTTGAATGACGCCGTAGTAAGTATTGAAAGTGTTGGTCCTCTCTGTAGACACAGAGCCAAAACAAAACACCAAGCCAAAACAAAAAAGGTATTTTCTTATTTTGTGATTATTGTCTAATTGGAGATATAGGTTCGAGGAACCATTCCATTAATCGTATATTAAGTTTACCGTTAATGCCTTACTACAGTACTTTTAGGAATAGTTGTATTCTTGAGTGAAAGCACGACATTTGCAGCGACGATAATGATGGCATTTTCATTATGATATTTCTCATTATTATGCATCAGGGTGCAGTAGGCGAACCAGGGCGTAATGCTAGTATTGGACCACTGGGACCAAAGGTAAGAATATCACAGATTTCAATTCAAAGATAATCTTAACGTGGTCATTTGAAAACTTCTTTCAAAGAAAGGGCAGCCTGGCCTATCCCTGCTGTACTTTGATATATTTGACAGCGTAAAGCGCTTTTTTCTTTATAAATCGGTTGAAAAGTTAGTTTAAAACAGACGCTTTTCATCTTGTCACGAGCGTGGCACAGAGAATCGCCCACGGGAAATCGATTCGTACTCCGATCCTCTACCACTGAGCCACAGAGATCTTTATGATAACCTGGATCATCGCTTACTCCATACATGGCACGAATCCCGCTTACTGGAGAAACAAGTTGTGGAAAAGAAGTCTAAACGATCCAACATTTGAGTTGATAACTATATCTGACGTATTATTACCAACGACTTTACTCAGAGTTGTACCCACATCGATTGACTTGTAGCTTGTATTGTTATGAGTCGATTTTTCTTCTGCTAATGGCAAAGATGGACGTGAAAAATTGAAAGGGAAAAAACAATTTGTGCACGAGTTATTTTTGTTGTAGGGAGTTATGGGACCTCAAGGACCACCTGGGCCACAAGGCTTCACTGGAGCCGAGGTGGGTGTTACGATCAGTTTGCGTTTCAGAGCTGCAAGTTCGTAGTATGATTTAATCGGCACCCAAGCAAGCAATCACTAGCTTCTTTCAGGTTCTCGGTTGGTGGAGACGAACGAACGAGGGGGCAAGGGAAAATTGGAGATCTCGAAAGGAGCAGCGAGGAGGAAAAGTCTTAAACCCTCCCCCCTCCGTCTCGTCGTTTTTCTCGCGCGCTGTGCTTTTTTCGTTCGTTCTCATGTAAACGTTGAAGCATCACAGGAGACAGAGATTGTGTGATCGTAGAGCTATTATTAGTCTTAGTACCTTAGCATAATGAGCTGTTCTAATTGGACATAAGGCCACATTCGGAGGGGGGGGGGGGCGGGGGGTTGTAGAAAACTACCATACGTATAGACAGTGGCGGATGGGCAAGATCTCCAGTAACCATCGTGCCAGTAAAGCAGTTATGATCTTCTTCAGCTCAGTTATTAAAGTTTTGTGACGATCATAATTGCGAATTGTCAACATTTATTATTGCATTCATTGCTTTCAATTTTGCTGCAAAGCTCGTCATTGAAGTTACTTGTACTGTGTGAGGAAATTTACCTCAATCTTGTCAGTAAATGTCAATGAAAACCTACTTTCATTAATTTAAGGGGGTTGTCGGACCTCAAGGAGAACATGGAAGTCCTGTAAGTACAAATATCCTAAGACTCTATTTCAAGCTAGCCTTTCAGGAATAATTAACAAATTTCTTTCTAGGCCCGAAAACTATCATTAGAGTTCCAATTATTCTTCCCCAAGCTGCTAAAGTAACTCCAAACGACACCCAAGTGTCCATTTAGTTTGAATGATAATT